TTCATAAATGATATATCGTTTCTTAAGCGATTCGAATTCCAATTTTGAAGATCTTACTGGGCTTCAGGGGTTTTATTTCAATTAATTGTTTTTCTAGTTAAAGTATCTTTCTGTATATTCCTAGAGGCTCAATAGGCATATGTGATTCTTTTTTGTATGTTATAAAACAATACGTATAGATACCCATTAGTGATACCACTTGCAGCAGGTTATGGGAAATTATCATGATAATGTGGCTTAACTTTTCCGTAAACTCAGGAGCACCCAGTCTACTTTTTAAAAAGCACGCTCTCTGGCATTTTCACAAACAATATTTACTCACTGTGCTGCGAACTCTGAACAGCGCTTTATACCATATATTGAATATGTGTTTTGATGCACATTATCAATAATGTTTTTTATGAATATACGTAAGTGCGGGCAGCCGACAGGTCTCGGTGTACAAGCGCAAGCCCAAACCCCCCCATAGCAGTGATAGGCATCCAAATTTAAGCTGCACATTTCGACGACATATTTATGACAAATAAAATCGGCCAGACAATTCGAGACCCCAGTCGAAACAAGGTGACGTTCAATGAACTTGACTCAAGATTCAACCCAGAATGCAATTCGAACAGATAGAAAGTGGCCTGTTTGGCTAGCTCAAGAGCAGGTTGTCCATTTGAAAGAAAGTGATCTATAATAATAACAATAATATTTCTATAATACTATATATTTCCTCTACCGATAAGTTGAGCATGTGACAAGGCCGAAGAAGAAAAAAGTCAGTTGCGGAGTTCAATGACAGCGCCCTATATAGAGATCGCTCTCTCTCTCTCTCTCTCTCTCTCTCGTCTATCTCTTTCTCCTTCGATCTCTCTTAATCTCAGTCTTTATGTTTCCTCGGCGAAGAAGGCGGAATTTAGTCTAAAGAGCCTGTCATAAAGGCAGACCAAGCCCCAAAAAATCCATACAAAAATGGGGGGCACGTCCACCGGCAGAGCGAAAAGTTTAAATTTAAAACAAAGAAATTATCAACTTAAATTTCCTGTTGAAATTCCAAAAGACAAAAAAAAAAAAAAAAAACAATATTAATTTATGCCAAAAAAAATTTCCATCACAAATAAAGATCAACAACTGGTTCATTGATCTGTCAGCTGATAAGTCCTTGAACCTGCAAGAAGGTCTATTGTATTTTGTACAGGGTATTAAAAGCGGTTTCAAATCAATTTCAATTTCTGGTTTACAGCTTGAAAGCGTGCCGACCTTCAACAAAATTGCTTCAAATTTGTATTTTTTCGAGTTCTTAAAAAACTTGTAATGAGCGCGACTGAGAAAAGAAACTCAGTTGACTTAATATCTCTTAGATCTCAGATCTCTAAAATTCAAACTTAACAATATCCAACAAACACCGAAAGAGATTTCACACATTCACACATTCAAAGAAAATCCAAACAACAAACCATTTTTAGCTTCTCTTGTTGTCTTTTTAGCCAAGCGCTCTGCTCTGCTCTGACCAAGTTTATAGTGAATTATAATTACGTTGCAAATAATGCCAAATACCAAAACACAAAAAAATCGCTACTGTTAATAAAAAAAAAACAACATTCGAACCGGTTTCTTGCCACTGCACCCTAATAAAACCTGCCAACTATTCATAATTTGTTTAACATTCATTTAAAAAAAAAAAAGAAGAGATTTAAACAAATGCAGAAAAAAACATTTGGAAATTTTATGAAATTCCGGTTGAAATTATATACATATATGCAAAGAAGTAACAAATTAGTCAATAATCCCAAGCATTATGGGTTATTTTAAAAGCTTATTATGAGCCTGAAGATACTCCAAGATATAAAACTTAAACAAAAAATAAGAATATAAGCCTTTTTCAGCTGAAAACGAAATATGTTTTATGTTTTAGCCAAAATTAAAAAGGGTTTGGTCAATAAGTAATCGATTTAGTTTATGGTAATCTCACTTAATTTAAAAAAAAAAATGCGAAAGGTAATTTCAGTTTAGTCAAAATAGTGTCCGACTTCCAAAAAAAAAAAAATAAATAAACAAATATCCGTCAGTTAAAAGAGATATTAGCGTGATTCAGTTTTGAGACCCAGAAACAGGTTTTAAAGAGATCGTTTAAGGGTACTTCGTATTCAAAACACAACAAAACAAGCTCAGCTCGAACATTTTTTGTCTACATTTTTCCAGACGTTCAAAGTTCGACTTTGTTATGAAATGTTTGTTTTGGGTGTTGGTATATGAACTAAAGTACGTATATAAAATATTTGGAGACTAATGAATCGAAACAAAATGTTTCTTCTATTTAATTATTGTAACAATTATAATTTATGGAAAGTTTTCTGAAACAAAATGCAAATATAATTTGTAATCTCCCCTCATATGTATATAATATTGAAACAAATTTAATTGCAGAATAATAATCCAAGTTTCTTTTGGGTCTTAAAAACAATATAATGATTAATAAAATATATATTTGATACAGGTATTGTTCGAATGGTGAAATACTCACAAATTATCAGCGATATATAACTTATGAGTGTTTTTTCCATTTTCCAAGAAATACCGTTGACAAAAAACGATAAACATGTTCTTTATCGCAGCCGAAACTTGGCTCCAATTTATGAAGAACGTTTCAAATAATTAGCGTCGTATTTTTATGCACGCGTATTATTTGGTTTAATTATTGCCTAACAAATACGTATCACATTTTTATATTTATAATATTCCTTTGAATGTGCTGCTTGACACGTTGTAATTCCCAACAAGTAAACTACTTGCAAGGGAGGTTGCAGCCGTTAATAGAGAGCCTCCAGAAATAGCTACAAGTTAATCTTCTTTTTTATATGAATATTTAGTTAATCTTTTCAAACAATTGGGACAGACTAGTCTAGTCTTCAAGATAAAACCAGTCTAGACTGTAGCTAACCCAAATTAAATATATATATATAATATTAGTTAAGCTCGCGTCTAATCCTGTTAACCTGCTTATCTCGGCTAGGCACTGAGCCAAACCTTGTTAACTTGCCTTCATCCTTGAGATCCGAAAATTCGACAACGAAATCCTCGTCACTCAGCAAACCCATAGTTGCAGCCTTTTGCAAAATGTCCGCCTCGTCGACGCTTAAGAGCGTAATACCTATAAAGATCGAACATATATAATATAAATAAACTTGATTGTATTTTATTTGCTGACCATTTGCAAAGTTATCGTCATAGAGGAAAGTGATTGTTGGGTCGTCAAGCGAAAAGAGCTCGCTGGCCACTGCCGAAGGCGGCGATGCTGGCTCCAGCTTCGGATCCCAGAACAACTCTTGGGGCAAATCTAAACTCTCCATTGTCATATGTGTAGTCAAAGGCGAAATCAGAATCTAAATTTGATGTGCTATATGGTGAATATATTGAAGACGTTTCGTAGAATGTGATGAACGCTGGTTGTTGTTGTTGTGAGGACGCCATGGTGGCACTGCAATTGGGAGCAAAAAAGAAAACAAATGTTTGATTAATATACATTACTTGGCACTATTTGGCTGACCTGCACTGTATGGCGCGCTTGAATTGATAAACAAATTGTACAACTCATTCGAAACTGCAGCTAGACATAAACAAAACACAAATTGCCTGTTCAGACTACGTCAACAGCTGATAAGCCCTTAGGACCATGTCCAACCCCATGTCAAGTGCTAAACTTGTTCTATAAAAATTTGCATAAGGCCTGAAGTTGAGCCAAGGGGTGCAAACTAGAGATGGGAGAGTGCCTGGCATGATCAGCTTCAATTTGTTGGGATTAAATGAATAAACTCTGATGATTTGCCATGTTCATTTTAATTTTTCTACTAGAACTCTTTTCTAAATGAATTTTAAGCGATTCTCTATTTAAGGCACGAAATTTAACACGAACACGTCGTGTTGAGTCACGCGTTAATGATGGGCAAAACACGATACGAGCCTAGCTTTAGTTCGCATTGCCATATAAAAACATTTCTCTCATCAACAAATAACTGCTTGCTATGTGCACGGGCAGCGCAGTCGACGTCAAAATCGCATACTTGTGCAGTGAGTGAATGAGATCGGTAAATAGAATGATTCACGAGCCGCTGCACGTGCTGTAGCATGTGGCAAGGTGAAGAAGCAATTGCCGCGCTTAAGTTTACGCAACTGACCAGGTGATTGCATCAGCCAATTTCAATGATACCGCTGTCTGGAGTACTGGGCTGTTGCATGCCACAAGCAAGTGGTAAACATTTCTGCCACGTTACCATGAATCGACAAAACAGGCAACAAACACATTGGCAGCCATGACTGTTTATATACAAGTCCGTGTGTGGTTGTGAGCGTGCATGTGTGTGTGCGCCATTGCGAAATTGTTGCACTCTTGCATTGTTCGCAGTTGTTCAATATTGGTACTTACAATATTTTTGTTAACATTTTCATAACTTTGTGTGTTGGGGCACTGTTCGTGCTTGTGTTTTGTTTGCGCGCAAACTATAAAGCCATTTTTATTTCCATATAAATGCAAAATACACGAGCGAAAATATTTGGACCTTTTTGCGTTTCATTTGGAACGATACTGAACTGGTGTTCCGTGTTCCGGAACTACTTGAACTCTATGGTTCCAATGAACGTATGTTAGTGAACAACAGTGACTCATTTGCGCAACTTTCGTCAACGGTAAGCAACTAAGAGTTCCGTGTATTTTTGAACTGAAAAACATATCAAATAACTTATTTTATATCGGTATCAAATCTTTATAACAGAATTATTTCCAACAAGTTATAGTTTTATCTTTTTGGGTCTTCACATGTTGTTTCAAGGAATAGTTTCTAAAAAGCAACCGAAATTGTATAAAATTAAATTGTGCTGGTTTTACAAGCACTGTTAACAGACTGTTAACGCTACAGCAAATTACTTTCGTTAAGTAAATTTCGATGTGCCTGTCAGGTTTTGTCTTGCTGCTAGCGTACATCTGACGCTCACGCAGTTTGGTATTTTTTAGTCAATTTTAGTGTTGTGTAGTCGCAAAAGCAAATTAATTAATATGAGTGCTTAAATTACAATTAAAATTACGTGAAAACACACGCTTGCGCGTTAAACTCGTATATTCGCTATATATAAACTGAACGCCTGCTTGGCAATTGGAGACGCGCCCCCAACGCGTAGCTCATGTGCATGTGTGTGTGTGTGTGTGTGTGCACGATGTAACTACAAATGGATAAAAGCAGAGGTCAAAAGTGCACGCAGGCAAGAAAAAAGGGCAAATCCAGTGGTCAGCAAATGCTAGTTGTGACGTAAATGGCAGACTGCGCTTTAAATTCGCTTATTGGTTGTGACCAATTGGGCGGAACATAAAACGGGACTCGGTGGCAATTGTTTTTGTTATGCACAGCGCACGTATATCGATGCGAGTATGTGTAAGTAAATATGTGCAGGCGCAGCCTACGCCATCGTCGTAGCTGAATGTTGTTGCTTCTTCTTGCACGCCCAGCCAGTCACATTTAGCGCCAGATTCCTATGTTGATAAGGCGCGTGTGTGCGAGAGAGCAATAGTAAGTCAACCGCTAGAAAGAGCGAGAGCAGAAGAGTAATAGAGAGAGCGCAAGCTGCTAGCGTCAGCTGTTTTATGTTTTGATTGTGTGCGCTGGGCAATAATAAACGCAATCGCACAGGTTTTGTTCGTTCAGCCTGAGTTCTTGAGTTTCTGCGAGCCGCCGATCAGTACCGTTTGTGAAATTGAAAAGTCATCAACGTCTGTGCCGCCGCGTGCCATACGAAGCAAACAAGCAAAAATTTCACACAAGCTTTTCATTATCAGCGCCAATTAACTGACATCGCATTTCTAATAGTTGCGTGTGCGTTAGCTTGCAAGTGTATGTGCAGGCGTTTCTGTGTGAATTGTGACGCGTTAAAAGCGGGGCGTGTTCGCCATTAGAAAAACAAAACGAGCTGTAAAGCAAACAGCAAAAACAAACGCAACAAGTGCATAGGCGCTAAACAACAAAAAGTGTTGAAATTATAAAAAGAAAACGTAATAAATGTTGCTACAATTAAGAAAATTTGTTAATTACTAAAAATATCAACAAAATAGTAGAAAATGCAAACAGCACAACAGTATAAATAAAAGTGCAAATTGACAAAACAACAAAAATACAAAACAGGAGCAACAAATTTGTCATAAATAAACCAAAGTGTTAATTAAAGATTTTCAAAGTTAAATAATTAAATTGTTAAGCTTTTAGAGAACTAAGAAATATGCAAATGCGTTAACAATAATAAATATACAAATATTAATAGATATTAATTGTAAGAAATGCCTGAAACGTGCCAAACTAATTAATTAACATTTTGCACAGCTCAAATTTTGTTGCAAACGCATAATGACAAGCATAAACACGAGCTAAAAATCCGAAGCTCCAAACAAAATATTTGCACCTGCTCACACTACAAAGTAAATAAAAACCAAAACAAACAAAAGCAACAATAAAAAAAATGATGTTGAACAAATACGAAATCTATCAACGCACAAACAACATGTTTCCCCACCAACAACAGCAACAACAACAACAACAACAACAACAGCAACAGCAACAACAACATCATCAGCAGATCCTAGCATCGCAACATCTACAGCAGCAACAGCTCACCCACTCGCACCCCCACCCCCACGCCCAGCCGCAGCTGCACTCGCTGTCCCATTCACTCTCCCCGCTGCAGTACATTGGCAGCGCTGCGGGCAGCACTGCAGCAGAGCTGGCCGCTGCCGCCGCAATGTTGGCTGCAAGCAAAGCCGAACGCGAGTCGATACACTCGGGTCAGTTTATGGTCTCACATTTTGAGGCCGAGGAGGCGCAGGATGATCTCGAGGACGATGGCGAGGTCAAGATGTTGGACCCGGAGGATCCGAGCCTTGATAAAGCCGGCGAGGCGACTAACACCTGCCGCGACGTGCAGCTCTATGTGCCACAGACTGTGGCGCATTTTCCGCGCATGGATCTGGATCGCGAGTGCGATGAGAACAGCATGGGCATGATCACCTCCCACCTGGAGATCGAGACGTCGCTGACCAAGCTCTTCAAGTGCATGAACCTGGCCTACAGGTGAGTCCAAACGGTTTAGGCCACGCGTCACGCGCGTGATAACATTCGCCCATTAATCTGGGTCTGGCCGAAAAGACGTGTCCGCACATGTCGCCGCAACGCTGGCGGCGACGTCGCCGCTCGGGTTACCTGGGCGCAACTTCGCTTTAATCGCTGTCTTTGTTTTCTGCTCCGTTTTCGATTTCTGCAAACGTTCGCAAATGCAGGCGAACAAAATGAAAACAACAAATAAATGAGAAAATCAGAAATCATAAATATGAAATATCAATGCAGGAAAACTGAAACGCATTTTTAAAAACATATACAACGACTTTTACATACTCTATAAATATAATAACCATGTTTATGGGAACGACAAGAGCGAACAATTTCCATATATTTCTTAAAATTAAAAATTGCCACGCCTGACTGAGAAAAAGATCAAAATTGTGGTGTATATATATGTGAGGTAGAGTATATGTATATTAGAAAATAGCAACTGCGTGGGGCTAAAAGTTAGAGGTCGCTGGCTCTAACTCAGCTGAAATTTTCAATTGTTTTTTCAATGTTTATTATTAAAATTTGGTAATTCTCGATTATTTGAAGAATTGTGACTGCCATTTCAATATTAAGTTCCACTCTTTATATAATAATTGTTGGTAAAATTTTTTGTCAGCTTGATGGAAAAATTTCCGAGGTTTGTAAAAGTAAGGAAATTAATTGAAATGAAACATATAATTCTGTTACGATCGACCACTGTAGACATCTATTCTTAATCAGTGTCAACAGGTGAAGTAATGCTACTTATATGCCCAGATAAAGTTTGTTTCCCACTTTCCGTTAACTCAGGTGTGCTATGAAGAGAATGTTGTTGCTCTTTGAAACTGTGTGTTGTACAAAATGCTTACCCAAATTACTATTTTAATAGCTAAAAATATGCTCACAGAACTACGGACACATCAAAATTTGATGGAAAAGTAAATGCGAAAAAGATAGATCATATAGTCCGTATATAATATTTGCTTGGGTTCCTGTAAGGCACGTAGCCCGAGATTTACGCTTTGTTTTCATTTGTTTTGTTGTTATTAGTTTTATTTTTTGCTACAACTTTTGACAAAGTCAGCAAGTTTGTTTATAATGGCGTATTTACTTTTGGTTGCGAGCAGAAGGCTCGCTGATGTTACCCGGCTTTATACGGTACTTACAAAATTTTTACTTTGTTGTTGCATATTCCTTAATTAGTTAAAAATTCAATATTATTCTCGTTGTGGACAACTTTAAATTCAATTTAAGGTGTCGTTTAACAATTGTTTTAACATTCTTTGAAAAGTCGAATGCTTATTGTGTAAAAAAGCTTTTAGGTTTTTCACTTATTTTCCACCCAGAGCGGGGGGTTAATACAGTCCATCAGTTCCCGTCAACATTTGTAATGCCAACTTGCTTACAAAATATTTTTCATTTTATGTTATTTTCATGATCATAATGAACGATAAAATCGTAAAGCTCTACGTGAGAGTATACTTATCGCACATGCCCGGCTCTTATGTTTGTATATACGTAATAATATATGTGTGCATATATGTGGACTTTATAGCGCATCTCTAATTCATATTGAGCACGTAGAAACGTTTTGTTTTGGCCTGCCCCTCGTCCTCCCCCCGCCATATCATAGTGCTAGAGTTCAAAGTTTTGGGTTCATTCAGTTCATTCAGTTTTAAGTCATCGAAGATCGTATGTTGCGTATTTTGTGCTTTTTTTCGTGCCGCTCTATTTTTAACATTGTGCCGCGCGGTTTTTTTTATAGTCAGCCTGTCGGTGTGGGGTTTAGCATATTCGTATTTTATGACCACGGCTTATCAGTTTGATAGTTAGATAGGCCTTGGGCTTTATTTATGTTTGCGTTCTCTTATCAGCCAGAGGCATTTTTGCAGGACTCCCATTCAGTTTTCTGTCCAGATCGCTGTGGCGTTGTTTTTTTTAGATAATATGCGCCGTAGGTGCTAACGCACGTGGATTAACTGTACAGTTGTTGCATGTGGGAGTTGTACACACGAGTGGATCTTTTGAGGGTATTTAAATCGGTATTTTGATAATGTCACGAAACAAAGAAGCTAACTAAGAGACGATTAAGTTATTGCCTGACAAGCTGAACAGCATATATTTCAGTTTTGCAAATTAATTTTCTATAGCTTAGCCCAGCTTCAAATCGAAATTCATAATAGAAAAAAAACTTATATTTGTATGCTTAATAGTCAATGATAACGTCTGGCTTCCATTTATTAATGGGGTATTCCGCTGCGAAAGCAATTCATTTAGAAAAGGAAACTAAACTGGATTAGTGCCAAATTGTTGTACCACAACAGGAAATGAAACGCAGCGTCAACTAAGTTAGTAGCTGTTCAGGAATGCGGCGGTGCGTTGGTGGCGCTTGGTATTCCGAGTGGTTCCATGAATGCAGCCAACTGTTAATGCCAGCGCTTCGAGTAGCTTGTTATGCAATTTGTTTTTGCTATAAAACTATTTGTAAGTGTGAGTCAATGATAACAGCAGATCGTGTGTCGTCCGTGTATTGATTAGTTAAGCATTGTTTATTATGTACTATATGCATTGATATTGATATTGATATTGATATAGATATAGATATTGAAATTGATATAGTACGTATATTGATTAATCAGAGTAATTGTTTTTGACAACCTCGCTCCAGCCCCCAAATGTCTTTTCCCAGTCAAATATTTCGATATTAGATTTACAACTATTTTTCCTCAAATCGAAACTAATCGATAGTTGACATTTTCATATTCAGCTGCGCACAAAATATGAAGGGGCAAGAGAGAAAAAAGGGAAAAATAAAAAAATTACTCAGATTTTATTTTGAGATTGTCGCCCAGGCGGGTTATGGGGCAAACTATTTATAGCCCGCAATCTGTCCATTCCTATACCTTATATTATTTATAAACAATTTATGCATTCTATTATTGTAAACTACACATATTAAGCATATATACTATAGTTTATATATTCAACAATTTTTCTTTTCTTTTAGTCAAAAGCTCACATCGCCCAAATGGAATCATTTTAAAGGCGTGCGTTTGCGCTGGAAGGACAAAATACGTCTTAACAATGTCATCTGGCGATGTTGGCACATGCAATGTGAGTAGAAATCATAGAACTAAAATATAACAAGGTTTAAAGTAACAACATAAAACAGTGAACACTCTGCTCACGGACGGTTCTGTTAGGCCAACGCCTATCTTAGCTGCAGATTTTTCTGTACATGTACGAGTAATAAATCTGGCAACCCCCATTAGACGAACACTTCTCTTAAGCGGACAAAAATTGCCCGACAATCGCATTCAACATAAGAGAATTGTCACTGCAGCTTTAGAGCATTTATTAATATTTAAAGTCATCTAATCGAATTAGCTTTAAATTTCAAAGTTATTCAATTTTTGACTAATTCGAAAAATATTTATAATATGTATATATACATTTATAAATTTTCTTTAAATTGCAAGTAGAGCAAGTAGGAGTTTCTAGTCGGGAGCTCCACACTCGGGGATACCCTGAGTTCTCTTCTACCAAATACAAATATATAATATAAATTTTAGAAACTACGTGTCAAATTTGGTGACTAGCTCTTATTATTTACCAAAATAGCTCAAAAAACAGGATTTCGATATAGATTCTTATCGATTACTTGGAAACGGGGCAAGCTATCGGGGCAATAAAATTTCAGGTTCTGAGATCCTTGCGTTCATACATGCGGACGGACGGACGGACATGGCTAGAACAACTCGAATGTTGATGCTTATAATAATACTACTGTGAAAATTACCTGAAAAACGTTGACTGTCGATTGCGATTATACATCAATTCGTTTAAAACTCTACAATCAAAAATTTGTAAATATTTTGCATATCTTAGCTGATCCGTAGATCGACTTCTTAAAGTTACCATAAGAAAAAACAATTGAAAGTTGGGCTCAGCTCCTATAAGAACATCTGTATGATTTAGTTAATGACGAATATATTTGGTTCAATTCCGATTCATTTATCAAACAAACAAGTCTGTAGAAAATATAGCTGTGGGCATTAGAAAAACCTTTATAGTTACATAGTTAATGACGACAATATTTATGATAATATTATGTCAAAAAAAAAAAACTGTTCACATAGCTTTTGATTAGGCCTAGATAACTACAACCCAAGGGTCGAAATTGTGGAGCAGACCGGAAACAGCAGCTCTTTCTCTTATTTGACAGAAGTGAAACGAGAGTTAAGTTTTGCATTAATTGAAAAATATTGTGATTATAATTTTGCAAATCATTAAATTCTTTGCCCAAATTGCTCCAATTTTTAAACAGAGCTGAACCAAATCTAAATTAAAATTTTCCAGCCGTGTCGGCATTGAAGCCGCCCGGCACGTGTCAGGGGCGTAAATAAATTACAAATCATTTACAAAATGAAAAAGAAAACAAAAATGTTTAATGAGTATTTCCTTGGGCGCGAAATGCTACACGTGCCAAGCTAATAGCAATACACAATTTGGCGAGCTGAGAGAGAACGGAAAAAAAAGCTAAAAGCTGGAAAAAAGCTTTCGAAGCGCAAACACAAACGCTCTTGATTACGCTCTACCGGAGATGAGTCGCATTTGCTTGTAGTTTTTCAACTGGTTTCTAATTATTATTATTACTTTTTTTTTTCTGCTTTTGTTTGTTTTGTTTTTTTGGCAGTCTCTCAAAATCGCAGTTGTAGTTGTAGTTGCCATAGCAGACGCGTCTATACTCTGCGTTGACCGTTGTCAAGCGTCTGGCAGCACGACGCGCTCTTCTTAGGCTTCTTATCAGTCGTCGGCTAGGCTTATCAGAGATGCCTGTCTGGCGTTTTGATCGTTCGCTCGCTTTTTTAAATACGTTTAAAATAATTTCGTTTGCATCAACTAGAACATATAAAGCCAGTGAAAAGCCTAAAATGTATGTATGCAAAGTTGCCACATTATTTGAAATATTTCAGCTTAAATACGAACGGGTGGCAACGCCAACATATTTATTTTGTTTCCTACCAAAGTTCGACATAATGCAAAACTCCTGGAAAATCCGTTCTGTGTTGTCTAAGGGTTTCTCTGTTGGAAATATTTTCATAAACTTTCCATTCTCTTACGTCACAAATGCGAGAGATGGTTGCCAAGATGTTACAAACTCGTCAACGGACGATTATCTCTAGAAATTGACGACAAACCGGCGACAACGGCAACTGCGACAAAGGCAAATGGAAAATTTTAGGTCTATTTATAAAGTGTTGTACTTGTAAACCCACCTACCTACATACTATGCACATCATACTTCTTGTCTCGCATTTAGCACTTAATACTCTACTCTACATACATATATGCTAAATGTTTATTCATGAGGTTAAGCATACTAGATTAACTGCATACCTAGCCCAAATGCGTGTTGCCTCGATCATTGGGCTGTAGAGTATGGACATCTGACAATTTTACCAAAAAATTAATATTCATCTATTTTTGTTAGTTTTTCGTTTTTTCTTGTATCTTATCTTGGGTTAGACTAATGGATTGATTCCAAGATTTGGCTGGCAAACGAAATATTCAGAAAACTTGCCACTAGAACGAAATAAAAAGGTTCCTTCTTGTCTAATTTAAATTATTTGCAATATAAACACACATCTTTAGCAAATATACTAAAGAAAAGTAGCATTCAATTTTTAGCAATAATGACACTTGGTAAGATTCTCAACTTATCGAAATTGAAATGACGTGAATAATGTTTACTTACATTAAATATAGAATAGAATAAAATGCCTTAATGTATTATATGACAAAGTTTAAATAATCAATCCATATTTTGCAAATAAACAATTCAAGAGTTGGGTTAAGGAAGCCTATATAAAAAAAGTTGTGCTTTTAAATGCAAAGCATTGTAAGTAATATAAAAACATATATACTATGTATTAGAAAATCGAAATGAAATATGGTATATTTATACCAACCGCGAACTACAATAATTTCATTGTGAAACTCATTTACATTTCACCATGCCTCAATTCATGGGCATTGTTTAGATGTACTGCAAAGTGTATATGCTTTGTAGATAATTTTGAATATCATTCTCTTGACTTTGTTGTATATAATAAAAAATTATAAAAAATAATAATAAAACGTCATTCTCCCGCGATTTATACACGTGTGGGTCGTTGTCATTGTCAACGCTGTTTTGGAGGCAGCTGAAAGCAGTTTGGCATCCCTCCGGAGCTATCTGGCAATGTTTGCTAATCTCGAGTCGAAATCTTATCTATACCTTTTGACGAGCTCTCTTCGTATATAGTACACAAACTAACCCATATGTGTTTTTTATTTTCTCCCTTTTTGCAGTTATACAAAAGCGGAGAACGCCGGTGTGTCAATTCGCATCGCCGCTGGACGTTGACATACATAGTAATCCCCAAGTAAGTAGTAACAGGTGGAACGTAATACTTAAGTGTCTAAAATGTGCGCGGTTAGATAATGATATATATATATATAAAAGTGTATACATACTATATACATAAATACAAACAGTGTATTAAAATGTGTGATCAGTTGGCTAGTCGTAAAAAATGTTGGTATTAAGAAGTTTGGAGATCCTGTGAAAAATTATATATTTAAAAGAACGCCCTACGGTTTACACTTGCATAGACGGAGGACTAAGAACTCTAACGATAACTTCTGAAATTTGTACGAAGGTAGGAAATTTTAAAATTAAAACCAAATGAAATAAAGTAAGCATATTATTTCCTAAAAAGTTTCCTTAGAGCTGTCATAGGGATTCTTCCAAAATCATTTCAATACAAAACAGTACAAAAAGTTGTTACTCTGAGTTACTCAGTACTCTTCAGTGTTCATTCAACTGGGTTTCAATTGTTTATTAGAGCTTCACAAGAACTGAACCGCACAGCTGACGTATTAACCTGTCCATGTTTGGAATGAACCCTACTCAATGAATGCTATCGCAATGTACTCGGACAACCCCCACATGGAGCAGTACACAAATGCTCAAAATATTTTGTCGATTTGCCCAACATCATCTGCTATACGCGTGATCAGCGAGTCGCGCGTCGTTAAAACACCGGGAGATAGTACTCATAGGCCCCAGATATATGGGTTCCCCTTTGCTCTGCTCCGAATTGCAGCACGTGATAAGAACGCGCGTTTATATTTTTGGCTATCGTCGCATTTTATTTATAGAACGAGATTAATGTTATAATCGAAATCAGATTCGCGATTCTATATGCATAATTATGTAGTACGTTTTACAGATTTACAGATGAAAATTACAAAACATTTTATAGAGTACAAAAGCTTTATTGTAGGACTTAAACAGTTAGTTTTTAATATATATCTGATTTTTCAAATATTTTAATTTCAAATCTTTTGGGAACCTGATAACCTAGTTACATACTAAATGTATTCTTTATAGCAAGTTGCTAATATAATAGCATCGCGGGCATCGTTTAATGTTAGCATACTTTTGACGCAAGTAAAACAGTTGATATAGCTATCTAGTATTAATTGACATACTGTAAATGTTATAAGCAACTAGATAACTGAAAGAAGAAGGAGTTAAGCCTAATTACACGTGATAATACAGACTCATTTAATATTGACGTTAGAATGTTTCATGTTCAAAAAATAACTAGCACGATGTCAACCAATAATAACAACCGGTTAAGATTCTAAAAAAATTAGATAACAACCAGGAAAGTAAAGAGCATATTTAAACTTTATATATATATAAAGATATACAGATATATATATATATATATTGTTTTGTTTCTTTTATCGATTTATATAGAACTGATTTGTGATCAACGCACAACCCAAATCGTGAGAGAGTCGAACCAACGCGCGAGAAGTCGCCGGTTCGCCGGTTCTCAGCAGCAATTTTCAATTCTACTTTCATTAGCTGTTGCTCGCGTGACTTGACTTTAAAACGACTCTTTTTATCTTTGATTCTATATAGATTAGCACATTTTCAGCTTATTTAAAGCATTGTCGAGCAAATAGCGTGTACACAATGCACAATGCAAATACGACTGCAAACACCGCCCACACCTTGGACAATAACTGCTAATTAGCCTATAACAACAAACTGATGAATATGCAACACCCTTTCACCCGCTGGCCAACCAACAACAGAGTGTTGGGGGCAGAGCCTCAAAAGCCACACCCATATTATAGCCAGTGTCTGGCAGATCAGTCAACTACCGCCAGTGCTTAATCCACATCGTAGTACACCCAAAGCAGTCTCATAGTCTTTTATCTGTTGCTGTTCGTCTGGGTCGAAACGTTACTCGGGCGCGTATAAAAGATTTATCTTATCGAGCTAACAATTTGTTTTCATTTGGCAAAGTTTGTTAAATGGCAAGAGAGGCCCGTATACTTGAATTAATTTAGTGGGTTTTAAAAATTTCACAAATTTTGATTATCGCAACGCTTAGTTATTGACTTTGCTTTGTTCGGGATTCTTGAATCAGTTGTCTGAAGAACTTGACGCGAGTGGGAGCCTAGGAAAAATGTGCAAGGTATAGTCTCTAGATTTTGGGCTGTGATTACGTTAGTAAATAATAAAAAACAACTGATTATATGTTTTATACTATATTTACGTATATTTATTCTCTTTCCCACAGACCGTTGTGCTTGAGGGAAAATACTGGAAACGTCATGCAGCTGTCATCAAAGCCGAATACAGAAAATGGCGCAAAAATTATAAATCAAAAGCAACTGGCTGCTTGACTTATGATTCGGTAAGTCGAAAACCCATCCTCCATTATAGACATAAGACAGGTGAACTGACTCTAAAGTTAAATTATGATTTCTGCAATGATTTAGTAGAGTTCTCCATTTCCTTAAATTGTACCAATATCACCATATACGTGAATATGGCTGTAAAGAGCTGTGGAATACAGAAATCATACATAAATATATATAATAAAATGGAATTTAATTTCTATTCATACCTTGAATAGCGTACTCTTATCTAGTGCGAAAAAACCATAGGCTGTCAGTATGGGCTGTTGACGCAGGTTTTTAAGCAAAAACTTTTCGACCTATTTGAAAGGTGTCGTATAACTTAGTATATAATAAAAGTAAAAAACGAGTGTAATAAACACATACCATTCTGTCCAGACCAGAGCCAGTCCTAGGTATTTTTGCAAGTATTTTGGCTGTTTTGTTGGCCTGCAAAAAGAATATACTAGTTAAATACACTAATAAAATGAGTTAATAATGAAATACTAAAATCTGTTCGACTTAATTCAAAAGTTGAGAATCACATAGAAAGGCGGAGTATACAATAAACCATTTGAAATCAAATGTATTTCCTATTTTGCGCATCAATAATAAAATAACAATTTGAGACGTATTTCAAATAATGAAAATCGCAAAGAAAGGCGCAAATATATTGACTTTTATGAATTAATTTATACAGCTAAAACAGCGATATTAGGTAGGAAGTTATAGTTCGTGATTGTAAGCCTTGGGCATATGAAGCTTATTTTCAAATCGAATTACTCACTTCAACTGTGATGACATTGGAGCGCAATATGAATGTCATCATAGCTAGCCAGGGGACATTCCACAGGCTGGCGGTGAAGCAAAAGATGGCATATTGAAAAAAGCCCACAAGCTTGCCATCCATCACGGTGCTAATCAGAAATAGAGGCCCAGATGGGGCCAAGAACAACACGAGTGGTACAATCGGCAGCATAAAGAGTCCAAAGCATGCAAACAGCTCAACAGCAATCGTGTCCAGTAGGCGATACCTTTGGTAGAGCAAATGTCTACGATTTGTCACAGAGTTACTTTCCGCCAATTGGATGTTATAATTTGCTAGGCCGGCTGCCACAATATGTTGCAAGCATACAAAAAACGCAAGCACCAGGCACATCACCAGAAAGCTATACAGATAGACAAATATATAGACAAGCGCAGCAATTTTGGACAAGTCCGCCCTTGCATAGCCATTTAAATAATTCATCAGACAGATCAGTGCCAGAACCACATAGCATATAAAGTTGCGTCGAAAGATACGTTCGTTAGCTGTATTTGGGCACAAACGATTCAGCTGGAGTAGGTTCTGGACCAATTCTATGTGACGTCGACGTCTTATGTAGAGGCATATATGAACTACCCAGAGTCCTATGCAAAAACAGCGTATATTGATTGTCTCATAGAAGTTGCCCGTCTCGTTGTATACTCCCATATACAGATCTTGCGGCCTCAGATAGGCAAACGCAAAGCAAGCGAGTGCTGCGACCAGTATGGCCAGCATATAAAAAAGCGCATAGCGCTCACTGCTGGGTGTTGACTGTAGCAGACAATCTCTATCATCGAACTGGGCACACATCATGCCCAGCCAATATAGGACACGACGAAAAAGACGTAGGTCGCGACTGCCAGACATACTGGCGTTGACTAACCAGCCAGAACGCAGCAGGCCCAATTAACTAAGTGCGTTAACAAAATATATTTGATTTGAATATTACGTACTTATTGATTGATCACCCTGGGCCGTAATTAGCTATGCCCACAAGTTGCATCAGTTTAAACTTGTTGGCAGGGCTGACAAAAAACTTGTTCGCGAACGGCCGTAGGCTTACAAAACGTACTACATTTTTAAGCCAAAAAATAAATTAAATTAGTGGACACTTTTAAAATGTGAGTGCTTAAAAATAAGAGTGCTCAAATGGGGAATGCCCGACTAGAATGCGGCCTGAACTCAGCGTCGGGCTGCCTTAACAATTCAACCCAGTTTCTTTCGTACACTACACTGTGCGAAATACATACTTCAATAGCTTCAATCATCCGATTGTGTGTAAGCACAAGGATCTATCTTTAACAAAAAGCTTTTCACATATTGCGTGGGAATAGAGTAAAGTATCCAAATAAAATAAAATATAAAAATATAGTATAAAAAGGCGCCGATTTCGACTCTCTATATGCCTTTTCATTATCACCCATTCGAATTGTGTTTAGGGCTTGTAAACATATTTCCTAGTCGTATTTTACCAGATTCTTAGTCAAAAGTAAAGATTTATAAATTAAAACCCTTGGTACACACCTCTTGCCAGACGGCATCTTTTTGGAATATGATCATCATGGCGACTAGCCAAGGTATATTCCACATGATGCATATGAGCAATAACCGAATTACGATATTTATTCCAACCTGATTTATATCCAGTTCAAAGACAGTGGTGACCAATATAAAGGGAGCAGCCGGTGCCGAGAAGAGCGCAAATGCCGTAATAAGCGCCATGACAAGTCCAAAGCCAGAGTTCAGCTGTTCGTGGCAAACGATGAGCATTTGATTACGTTTCCATAAGCCGCAGCGCTCGATCTTAGTTGTTTTTGTGGCGGCCAGCAAGTCGTGATTATAAAGGTGCAAAAGGGCAGCCAAGACTTGCGCCAGGCAGCTATAGAGTATCATGATAAGCCCTATCAGCACGTAGCTATAGGTATAGATGAAACTCAATAGTATACACGGAACTACGGGTATTTCAGAGAACAGAAAAGCGCTGGTGTACGTCACGGCACACAAACCCGACAGACCCGCATAGATGCAAAAGCGTCCTAGAAAACGTTTAGCATAGCAATTGTTCAGATCCTTGCGATTGCGATAGAGCAGCAGTGAGAGGAGCTCCAATAAATGGCGACGTTTCACAAAGATGCCGAGATAGACGAGTGCCATAACTATGCAGCCAAGGCCGTAATTGATCAACAAATACGCATTACCGACGCGTGAATATAGGGGCAGCATAAAGCTATCCGGTGTTAACAAAACATGCGCAAATGCCATCCATGTGACTATTTGGGCCAACGAAAAACCGATCACGGCCAAGGTCTGGTCCATTTGGCTCTCATAGGTCTGATGGGTCCGAGCATCGTGTGTTATACAAAGTAAACCGATACACTTCAGGCTGATCAAATAGATGCGCAACTCCGTTCCGGAAAACATGACTGAAAAGTTGCAACTGACATCAGGAAGCACACCAGCTCAAAGCGTGCAAATCAATCAATAATTAGTTGGTTAAAGGGGTTGTGGTCGTACTATATAACAATCAAATTTAACACGAGCTACCAATCAAATCAATTGATGTTTACATTTCGTGACTATCTTACGTTACAATTGACTGCACCCAAGGGACTGGGGGCTTTAAGCCTACCCCAGGACACCCCAATGCGCCATCCATGTGTTCGCTAAATCAATTCAATTTAATTCATAAAAGTCAGTCGATACTTGCAAAACACTTTTTATTATATTACCAGGCGCATCAATAAGAATTCAAATAGGATTTATTCCACCTAATCAGAAATGGACGTAATTATGCATTCCAATTTGACTATATCGCCAAATCCCAATCAGAATTATATGACTGAAGCAAGAATCGGAATTATTTTTGAACGACCAAAAGCTGGTTGATATACCTTCTTATTTAATTTTGCAGTTGATGCGATTTGAAAATATACAAATCGAATAGGTGAAATTCTGCCTTAAAATTCGATTGCAATATTACAATTGGCTTTATTTCTTTATTATGATTGTGTGTAAGCTAATTTATTTGGAATGTATCAAATTGACTGCCATTTGTAATTATTTCTTGTGGAAATTGTTAATTATTTCTTTGTGGAAATAATTTCTTAAATTTTCACTGCACATACCTGTACATGGACTGTGTCGCTCATCAAAGCCGTCGCGGAGCTCATAAATGTGGGTGAGAGCCATATAGCGGTCGAAATAATACGCTTCAACACATTTTTGTCGGACTTGCTAACCATCATGATATAAAGTATACTGGTCGCGTCCAGTGAGGAAAACAGCAGACAGAGCCAAATGCTGAAGCCATAGACCAGACTGATCTCATCGGTGCACAAGTAGAGCAGACGATCGTGCAGATCTAGGCAGGCGCGCAGGCGCAGGATATCGCTGCAGTTTCGCTTGGACCGTTGCAACTGTTGGACCAGAGCCTTCAGCTGGGCCTGATTGCTGCGCAACAAATGTCGTACGACATGTATGAGGCACACATAGATGCCCTGTATGAAGCTGCTGATGAGGGCACGCAAGGGGAAGCCCAGCGTGCTAAAGGTGAACCAGCCCGATATATTGACAAACCAATCTGTCACACAGAATTTCAAAAAGTTGCCAAAGTAGATGACATTGAAAATCACAAGAAAAACTAGCAGCCGTTTAGGCAGCACCAGATGCACAGTCAACAAATATTTTCTCTTATAAAACTCAAGTTGTCGCACAATTCGCATCTGTAGATCCTGCAGCCATATAAGCCAGGCATTCTGCAGGAACTGTATAAGTAGGGCCGAGAAGAGCACAAAACGCTCGTAATGATTGCCCGTTGCGGTCATTTCGCTCTTGAAGCAAAAGGTCCAAAAGGTGACCAATAATACCATACAGCCGACCAAATAGATTTGCATGGCCAAGTGCACCACATAACAGATGAGACTGCGACGCAGCCGAAAGCGATCCTTACTGCTGATATATTGTATGCAGAAGATGCCTATATATCGGCAAATACGGTAGTACGGATATAGCTCGCTTTGCTCATACTTTATCATGGCTAAAGCTCAACAAACACTCAACAGAAACTGATTGAAAATTTATAATTTCAAGGTGTATTTATGTCATTTCTCGGCAACCATTAACCTAATTGTGTTTTCTTACGGCTCCGGTTTGCTTTACGGCAGTTTGCTTACAGCTTTTACGGTTCAGCAGTTCTTCAAAAATAGAAATCATTAGTTGAACTAAAGTGAAATATTTAAATCGAAAATATTTTCATTGTCACTCAGTAATTTTGGGTACAATTTCAATTCGTTTCAATGATTCCTTGCATTTGAATTTCACTTGCATTAAAATAGTCTGTTTAATTTTGGTTTCTTTACATTTGTATGAACAATCAGATACGTCAACTAATTTATTATTTTAATAAAAATTACTTAATTCTTTGAATTTCCCCCTTTCCCGTTCGAAATTTCATTTTGTTTTCTTAAAAAATGACTAAATCATTTGAAATGCAGTTTGGATCAATTTAGCTACATATATGCAAATATTGACATTTTCTTTTGATTTTCCCACAACTTTCAAAAATATCGCCGAACCTAAGCAAAAATCAGCTAATGTAATCCTATTTATAATCAAGCAGACAACTTCTTTACGTAAAATCGATAAGTCGGAAAGGGAAGGATTTTCTGTTTACGTTTTTGTTTGTATTACTGCCTTTCCTATAAACTAAATAACTCACCTGCTTGGCCACGTTGTTAATCATCAAGGGCATGACCATATATAAGAAAAGGGGTGTCAACCAACTAAGCACCATCAGCACTTCCTTATATGAGAAGCGATCCTCGAACGTGGCTATATAGCATATGAATGTGGCATCCAGCACAAAATAGAGAAAGGGAAATATTAAAGCACCGCCGAAGACTTGCAGAATCTCCTCGTGGCACAGCAGCAGTAGCTCATCGTGAATGCACAAGCTGTTGGTCAACTCCTCCAGCGTAATTAGAGCTCCCAAACGCAACTGATCGGCCTGAGCCTGGAGCAGGCTCATCACGACATAAACTAGAGCTGTGTAGCACGTGATGACATAGTTCATGAGCACGAGGTGCATGCACAGGCAGATCAGGCTGGGCAACTGCTTCAGCTGGCTGCTTGCATGCCAGGTGTCGATCGTATAAATCAGGAAATTCCATGAATACAGCAGACTGATGCCCAACCAGATGCGATAAAGCCAGCGAGGGCAACTCAAGCTCGTGGTGTTCACTTGCAAGCGCCCAGCCAAATCTGATAGTCGATTCAACAGAGTCTGTTGCACGTGCTGCTGCATGCGCAGCCAAATGTGCAGCAGCAGCTCAGTTGTGGGTGATGCAAATACAACAATTTGGTAAAAGACTTTGCCCGCTCTTGACTCTATGCCCACGTAATCCACGCGTGTGGCTAATAACGGCTCTATGAGTGCGGCAAATATAAGGCACAATGTCAACAGCTGTGCATTGCGTGAGCCGCAGGTTGCATGCACCACGTAGCGTTGCAAGCAGTTCGAGTAATCGATATTGGTCAGACCCAAAAAGCGCTGGTAGTGCAAAAAGGCAAGCAGCCTTTGGTCTTGCATTTTTATTTATTTTTTCTCTTTGGTCGAAATAATTTCGGTGTGTTGTGGCACACGTTGCCTGGCGTACTGACTTAGGCACAAGGTACTTAGAGCTAAGCATCTGATAAAATTGATGAAAATATCTAGTACCCTGATGCACGATAAAAGTGTGCTTAACAAATTTAATTAATTTAATGCGTGCGACTTGTGGGCGGAAGTGCCATCTGCTATTTTTATAAAAAACCTCAAAAGCTATTTATGCATGTCTACACATTTATGTAGAATACCATAAAAATATTTTAAATAGGACTAAAATTTGGGTTTTCGAATACAATTGGTTCACAGTGGCATCAAAAGGGCTAAAATTTATATTAAATAGGTTAAGATGTAGCGTCGTAAAGTATTGCGTTATTTAGTCAAAGCATTAAAAGAAACAGGCTTAAATTTTACTAAAACCTAGTAGACACCTGTCTAAATATTTATGCCCACTTTCGACGTGCTCTACTCAGCTACTAGGAGATTTCTTTAGACAGGTCTTCAAGGGTTTGTTCTTTTTGTAATATGTTCACATATCATAAATCGGACAGTCCTCTTAAAATTAATTTCATTTTGATAGAAGTTGGGTGAAAGGCAATCCTCGCCACTAAATAAACAAGTTATCATTCGATAATTATCGATTTTTAAATGATTTGTAGAGTTATGGACAGATAAATAAATAATAAAAAAAATACATAAAAAAATTAAATTTATTCATGGAGACGTTAATATATAGCTATAAAGACTTGATTATCAAAGCTGAATATAAGTAACTGATTTTGCAGTTAACGTTTCCAAATATATTCTGTAATACTCACCTCGACAGACAAATTGTTAATTGTTAACGGCATGTACATATATAGAACGTTAACTGACATCCAAGAAACTATAGCTACAACTTCCCCATAGGAGAAACGGTTCTCCAGAGTGGCCAGATAGGTGACAAATATGGAATTCTGACCAAGATATAGGAAACTGAACAGCATTGGGGCGCCAAAAACCTTAACGAGCTCCTCGTGACACAGCAATAATAATTGATCGTAAAGGCACAAACTGTTGCCCAACTGCTTCAGACTTGGTCGAGACTCTGTCAGGATCAGCTGTGCCGAATGTGCTTGCAACAGACTCGAGACAACATCCACCAACGATGTGTAGCAAGTAATGACAAAAAAGATGCGCACGAAGTTCACAAAGAAGCACATATAATAGTATATTTGCTCGATTTGTGGACAAAGTTTCCAATATATCACTGCAAATATGCTTATGTGCACAGCATTAAAGGCGCAGCTGCTAAGCCAAAATCGATAAAGCCAACGGGGGCGTGGCAATGCCTGCGTGTCCAACTGTAGACGCTGGGCCAGTTGGGACAATTTCTGTAGAAGCAACTGTTGTGTTTGCTGCCGCATGCGCAGATAAAAGTTGAGTAATATCTGAATAATTGGTGCCATCAAAAGATGTAGAAAGTAAAAAGCTTTCACCGGCTTAGAAATCATCTCCACGTTATCAACACAATGTCCACTTAGAGTTCCATACAGGGAAAGGCCGACAATGGCCAGTGCCAGCAGTTGGCTTGTGTAGGAACACCAATTGGCTTGGACTATATAGTTTTTAGAGTCCTGCGAGTAGGCAATATCGTTAAGTCCCAAATAACGTTGATGGTCTATGAATATTAAAAGTTTTGGCTGCGTCGCTTCTGGAAACATTTTCTTTTGTTGAAAATAAACACTTGCGTTTTGGTAAACGTTGTCGGGTTAACTGAATGCAACAAAATTGTGTACCCCCCATTTGATGAGTCTAGTAAAAATGTGAAATCTATCAACAGATCTTTAATTTCAATTAGTGGAAATTATAATGAATGGCAAATGTTGTGCGCTTGACTGGAATATTATCGGACTATTAGTGGGAATACTCTTGATCAGGTGTATTATGTAGGTTTAAAACAAAATCTATATAAATGTATATTCGGATAACAATCGTCAGGGATTTTTTTTTTTTATTGCTAAACGCAATGCATATGTCAAATCAGATATATCTTATATATCTAAAAGGACTTAACAATATTAATAAAAGAAATACACGAGGCTTAGTATGCAAAACTTAAAGTTTAAGTAATCAACAAAGTTGAGCTTTGGTATAAAAATGAATGCTACAAATAATTCATAATCGATATCTTATCAGCATTAATGTAAACATCCTCTAGCTGGAAATAATAGTTTAAAAAATGAATTGGTGTTAAGTGGGCTTATTACCCTTCTGCTGAAAGTCGGCACACACTGACTAAACTTTGTCTAGTTTGCTCATGAAGCCCAATTGATCACAACTGAAATAATAAAAAAAAACTCACCTGCTTGGCCAGGTTGTTGAATATCAGTGGCATTCCCAGAAATAAACTAAATGGTATCAGCCAACTGAGCACAAATAGCACTTCCGTAAAGGAAAATCGCTCCGTCAATGTGGAAACATAACAAATAAAGGTAGCATCCATTAGATAATATAGAAGACAAATTATGACAGCGCCACCGAAAACTTTTATAATCCCCTCATCGCACAGCAACAGCAGCTCATCATGTGTTCTCAAACTGTTGGCCAGCTCCTCAAGAGATATCTGTGAACCGATTAGCAACTGATTCGCCTGCGCTTCCAGCAAGACCAAAACCAAGTGTACTAGGGACGTGTAGAGGGTGATAATATAGTTGATGCGCAAGAGAAGAGAATAGTAGTTCACGAAAAAGAATAAAAATGTCCTCTGGCTTTTTGAATTCAAATATAATTGAGCAAATATCAAATTAATGAAATAGAAAGCGCATATGCCCAACCAAAAGCGGTAAAGCCTACGAAGTACAGCCAGCTCTAAAGTGTTCACTTTTAGGCGGCAGGCTAGCTGCGTCAACATCTGCAGTAGCACACGTTGTGATTCTTGCTGTGAACGTAGCCAGATGTATATTAATAACTGAGCTAACTGGATGGCCAGGATAATTATGTCGTAAATCCAGTTTCCTGTCTTTGAGTGCATTTCTAAGTGGGCCTTGCCCTGTGCATCGATGAGAGGTGTAATGCAAACCAGCACCATTAGAAACTGAATGCCATAAGAGCACCAATTGCCATTGAGCACATAGCAATTCAAAACGGTAGAGTAATCGATATCGGTTAGCCCCAAATAACGCTGGTAATGTATAAGGGTAAAAAGCTTATGTCCGCGTGGTGTCGCCCACATTCTCTTCAAGAAACTAGACTTGCTTATGACCAAGACTCCCACAAATAACTAAATTTAAAAATTATGGGTTCGCCTAAAGAAAATCCATCTATATAAATTTTAATTAATTAAATTTGTACACAACTGTGGCATTTTAATCAATTGAATGCCAAAACAAACTGTTGCGAGTTGTGGGCAATGTTCGACACGAATGTACCCTTACCATGCCAAGTATCCAACAAATTTTGAACGTTAGTCAAGCAATATTGCTTTACTGAAGAACCAGATTGAGGTCCCGATGGGGATGACATTTTTTAAAAGTAGAATTTTAGAAGC